TGACCCCGAAGGAGGCTCTAATGGCTGAAATGAGTAGTCCTGTTTCTAACTGTTACTGTGACTCAAAAGCCAGAAGTTATTAATTCTTGACTGCCTCAGATTCCTTCAATGACTCACAACCAGACAGAAACCTTTTTGTCAGTACTCCAGGCAGACTGTTTTGTGACTATGCTTCGGGCTTGGCGTTATTTTCCGTCAGAGAAATTCAATCTTAAGCAACACAGAGCTGTGTCATGAAGTCTTTCTAGCTTTCTATAAACATTGAACTTGAACTTTAGTTAGAAAATTGTGGAGGCGTATTCATCAAGTTTCTAATGAATAGAAGCAATGACATATCTGTACAAAGTTCAATATGTTTTCCGAGAATCAATCTTAAGAATCTCTTTTACCAATACACATCTGGGTTCTTTAAAAGCTATTCAGTGGTAATACAATCTCTAAAGGTTGTTTTGAGAGTCAACACAAACTCTATATGCTTTCATAGAGATGGGTTCATCGTTATCATGTGAGATGTGACGTATGTATACAATTTCACTCACATGATAACAGGTGGTCGTACAGTATGTGTGTGGTGGGATTTTAATCCCTGTCTCGTGTGTTAAATGTTGAACATTTGTATGTGGAAGGTCAGTAAGTTAATGTGACCTCAAGCTCAATTATTCATAAACTGATTTTAGGACAGGGGTGTCCAAACTACGGCCCGGGGTCCAAATGCTGTCCTGCAAGCCATTTTGAATTGGCCCTCAGCTAATTCAAAAAGTATAATGAAATATGGCCCACAAATGAAACTTTTGCTTGTCTTGTACTTCTTAAAAATATATGTAAACATATATTACACAGTATTCATGTGTTAATAAGCCCACTTTCAAATGAATTCCATCAATTAAAGTTGAAAACATTTTCTAACAAATCTAAGTTGATAAAAAAAGCCCAATAACTTATTTCTATAACCAGCTCAAAATATAGGCTACCCTTCATATTTCCTCTTATGAGCAATCTGAGGCTTCTGTTTTAAGGAATGAGCTGCAAACTAAATAAATGAAACCCTCTGGAGAGTTGTGATGTTGGCTGTTTTTTCTTAAAGGTCCCATGACATGCTTTTCTGGTTATTACCCGTCCACTTGTGTGTTACTGTATGTCACAAACCCTCAAAGTACACCCTGTAGCTAGTAAAACTCTAACACAGAAAATAACTGTCTATGCTGCCCGAGAATGCCTCGTTGGAGATTTCTCTTTTTCCATTTTTTTCTTCCTGGTCATAGTGACGTAACGGCTCCTCACACACACACTCAGTCACCCTTATATTTTCTCAGCCGCGGATCCACGGACTCGCAGACCCCACGCAGCAACCAGGAAACAACACCAGTAATCCAGCTCACACTGTCCGCTCCTCGAGCCTCAAAGGGCGGAGCAGCGAGCCCCGCAACGTCCCGCCAACACGCCACCCAGACCCAGCACGCAGCATTCTCATCTGTTTGTCATTACTGGTGTCATTTTCTGGTTGCTAACAACCGCCATTGTAAAACGTAATCACTGATGTTAGGTGTAACGGTGGTGGACTCATCAGAACAGAGTGGGTGAGCTGACCAATCAGAGTACAGTGGGCTCATAGAGAGGGGAGGGCAGGAGCTCCCACAAGCCGTTTAGGACAGAGTGAATACATATCCTACTATCATTCTTCACTTTAACGGCGTGAGAGGACGCTGGCGCTGACTGTTCGCCGCTTCTCTGTCTGAAAATCTCGTCTTTCTTTGTGTTAATCTAAGAGTTTCTGACCACTTTCTACTGCTATAGTTTTCTAACTATTCTGTGGCTTAATTGTGTTCTGATCTGGACATATTTGTTACACCCGATTGCCATTTTTGACGGACGCTTTGGTTTTCTACCCTGCTACACCTGCCATTGTAGCCCACCTGCTAACGCTGCTCCATCCATCAAATAACCAGCCCCACTCTTCGTCCTGCCCCTCCCCGTGGGCCCTGACTCTGGTTCTTTAAACCTCCCGCTCCTGCCGGTCCCCCCATCTGCTGTAAATGACAGCCTGCAACTGACCTCTCATCCTGTCTGACGGTTGCCAACAGCTCCACTTTCAGCGCCGCTGGTCTACAACCATAGCCAGCGTTGTGCTAACGCTAGCATCCTACCGCGGCACTACGATGTTACGATACTCTGTCTCCCAACTTTTTAATCTCAATAACTTTTCTGCGCTTCATCTAAGCTTGTCTGTCATCAATTGCCTCGGGCTTCTACGCAGACCGAGGTATGTCCATAGAGGTTCCAAACGCAGATTTGTTTACTCCCAGTCCGGAAAATCATCTATAACATCTATCTGGTCAACTAACCGCCATGTCCCACAACTGTCAGGTCGTCTGAGCGCACTTATTACTCCATATTATACACCCACCACTGGTCCGTTACAATCCCGGCTGTAACGAAAACCTGGAGTGGATCCCACTGCCCTCTGCTCAGAGCTGGCCCAAATACCTGTAGTGGATTCCACTGCCTTCTGCTCAGAGCTGGCCCAAATACCTGGAGTGGATTCCACCGCCCTCAACCACCAACAACTGATAATAACACACTTCCTTCCACCTCCTCTCCGCTCCTCCCCCCCATCTCACATTCCTCCCCACACTGTCAACCTGGACAACCTCTTACCTCTTCAGCCTGTGACCACACCACGCCCCTCCCACTCAACTAACATTGCCCTCCTTAACATCCGATCACTCAACAAGAAAGCCCTCATCCTCCATGAACTAATCTTGGAAAAATCCCTTGATTTCCTTCTGCTTACCGAAACCTGGCAACAGCCCGATGACTTCTTCTCCCTCAACCAAACATCCCCCCCTGGCTTTAAATACATCACTAAACCCCGCCCCTCCCGCCGTGGTGGTGGCCTTGCTGTGATCCACAATCAGAACATCCTTTGAATTCATTGCCTTCAAAGCCCCTCCCTCTCTGACAGTCATCCTCATCTACCGGCCTCCTAAACCTCATCCCTCCTTCCTCTCCGATTTCACTGAATTCCTCACACTTGCCTCATCCCTCTCTCAACGTCTGTTACTACTTGGTGACCTCAACATTCACATTGACTCACCCACCTGCAAGCTGGCATCCGAATTCACAACCCTACTGGACAATTTCTCTATCACCCAACATGTCACCTTCCCCACCCATGACAAAGGACACATTCTTGATCTCGTCTGCTCTACCAACCTCCCAGTGATTGACCTCCATCCCTTGCCCATTTCCCCTCTCCGACCACAAACTCATACAATTCACCATTGCCCCCCCCTCCCGAAACCCCTGCCCACCCAGAAACATCACCTTCCGTAATCTACACTCCATTGACCATAACCATCTCTCCGAACTGCTATCGTCTAATCTCCCCCTGGACGCAACCCTCAGCTCACCTGATGATCTGCTCAAACACCTCAACTCCACCCTACTCACCTCCCTCAACACTTTAGCCCCCCTCAAAAATAAAACTGTTACTTTCAAGACCTCCTCACCCTGGTTCACACCCGCACTGCGTAAAATGAAGCAGCGAGGCCGCCAACTAGAACGTCTTTCAAAGAAATCATCCCTCACAGTCCATTACATAAGCTACAAACTCCATCTCAATGCATACAAAGATGCTCTTATTGCCGCTAAATCTGCCTACCTCTCCAACATCTTCACTGACCCCTCCCGTAACCCCAGGACTCTCTTCTCCACAGTTAACAAGCTCTTCAAAGCCCGTGCTGATAACCTCCCTACTTCTACTTCCGCTACTTGCAGCTCATTCCTCCAGTTTTTCGCAGACAAAATGAACGCCATTAACCACTCCTTCTCAGCTCCATCTGATATACAAGCATCTCCCCCAACCTCCACCGCTACCATTGCTCCCCCCATCTCCCTTGACCTCCTGATTCCTCCCCAGCGCCGCCTCTCCCAGTTCAACCTGGTTACCCCACTTGAAATACTCCATCTGATCGGTTCCTCAAATCCCACAACCTGCTCCCTTGACCCTCTACCCACTCCTCTCCTGAAGTCCTGCCTCCCCGTCCTCTGCGCCTATCTTGCTAACCTTTTCAACTCCTCGCTGTCCCATGGAACCGTCCCCTCTGCTCTCAAAACTGCTGCCGTTACTCCAATCCTCAAAAAACCTGGTCTTAATAATAATAATAATTCCTTACATTTATTATAGCGCTTTTCCAGATGCTCAAAGCGCTTTACAAATACACATTACACATATCATACATGCAATGGTCATGTACTGTGGACAATACCCACAGGAGCAAGTTCAGGTGAAGTGTCTTGCCCAAGGACACAACGGCTTTACAGCACTACATCCCTCAACAGACTCCAACGGGTTCAAAATGCAGCTGCACGTCTCCTCACGCATACCAAATCATGGCATCACATCACCCCAGTCCTCAAAGACCTCCACTGGCTTCCTGTCTCCCATCGCATCAACTACAAAATTCTGGTCCTCACCTACAAAGCACTCCACCATCTGGCCCCCCCTTATCTCACAAACCTTCTCACTCCTTATCAACCCCCACGGTCCCTCAGATCCACCGCAGCCGGACTTCTATCCATTCCCACAGCCACATTCTGCAGCTTTGGGGACAGAGCATTCTCAGTGGCAGCGCCTAGGCTCTGGAATTCCCTACCCCAAGATCTCCGTGACTCTGAGTCCCTCACAGTCTTTCAGTCCCGCCTCAAAACACATCTTTTCAACTCTGTCTACCCATAAGCCCCCCCCCCCCCCCTCTCAATCAACTTCCTCTTGACTGCCTTTTTATTTTTTATACTTGTTTGCCTGTCCTTGTTTGTCTACCCTCCCTCATACTGTAAAGCGTCTTTGAGTTGTGAAAAGCGCTATATAAATAAAATGCATTATTATTATTATTAATATTACTATCCAGAGATTCTGTATGATAAACCAATGTGAGTTTGGAACATTGAACAATGCAAATATATTCTAGTAGACCTCAACAATGGAATTATGATCAGTAGAAATGGCAATGTCATGGGACCTTTTAAACATATTCAAGTATAAAGCATAATTTGCCTACATTTGATTGATTTTACTATCTTATAACTGAACTTATGAGGCAATATACCTCTCCTCTAGTAAGTGGGCCAGCCCTATTACTCCTCATTACTCACAAAGCCCTCAACAACCAGCCCCCCCCCCCTACCTCACAGACCTGCTGCACCACCACACCCCTTCCCGCTGCCTCCGCTCATCAGAAGCCAACCTCCTATCCATCCCCACACGCATCAATCACCGGACCTGGGGGGACAGAGCCTTCTCCGTCGCTGCCCCCTCCCTCTGGAACTCACTCCCACAACCCATCAGAGACTGCACTGACCTCACCACTTTCAAAAAACTTACAGAAACTCACCTCTTCTATCTGGCTTTTAATGTGTGATTGTTTTTGTATTGTTTGATTTTAATTTGACTTTATATATATTTATTTGTTGTTCTTTTCTATTCACTATATCTGTAAAGTGTCTTTGAGCACCTGTAAAAGCGCTACCAAATAAATATATTATTATTATTATATGTGGCCTTCGGAGAAAAAAGTTTGGACACCCCTGTTTGAGGAGGTTAAGGAGGATTTCAAAATGTTTCTCCATCCTTCTCTTTTTAAGTTATTATTTTGGAACAAAAGCCCAACCTAGTATTTGACCCAAGAGCACTAATGTGGATATGTCCCTGAAAGAGATTATAATACAGTTACAATGACATCTCTTCCCCATTCATTCATGCATGGCCACACTAGATTGATGGACTGTGATGAGGAGGGATGATGTGTCAAGATTCTACTGTTAAAATCATCTATAATAAGCAAACATCTCAGCCTGAAAATGAAGAGGTCACCACCATGTATCGTTAACTAGCTGTTAACAATCACAAGCTAATATCAAGTTATCAGTTCCTGCAGAAACACACACATGGTTTTACAGATACAGTAACGATTTTACATTCAGTTACAGCTTATTGACTGATGTCTGGTAGAAATGTTCTCCTGTCTGCTGATTATACAATATCTGATTCATATGCATGTCCATGAACTGTATAATTATGACAAGGAGACCGTTTATGTGATGTCAAGATTAGAATAAAATGAAGCTTGTTAACCTGAGACCCGTATCATCCTCCACTTGTCTCCACTTCACTCTGGAAATCTGAAATTACTGGCAACAAAGTGACTCCATGGGATCACTTTTCTGGGTGCAGTTACATTAAACATGTTGATGTAGTTTTCAGCAATTTAGAAGTGGTTGTTCACTCAATGCAGGACTGTAATAATATGCAAAGAGACTCTTATGAGCCAGGCTAAATCTCACATGAGCATTTCGAAATACAGCATCTTTAACACCACCACTTATAGCCGAGTATGCTTTCAAGAGTTGTTTAAGTGCTACTGATGTTTAAGGCAAGTTTGCAACATAAATAGCTTCCCTCCCTCAGAAGCGTTGGCCTATGCTGTATAGTTTAGATCCCTTATATTTCACATTTCTAAAGCTATGACTTCAAACCATGCATATTAAGTATTACAACATGTCAAAGCTGGAGAGATACAAATCAGACTTTGATTTAACACTGAGTTTTGTTACTTGTATTTAAGACATCAAAAAGAGAATACATACAGAAAATATAGTGATTATAAGAAAAGTTCAGCTAAACTACATTAATCTGCAAGTACTGAACAGCAGGTTTACACTCAATATGTATAGCATTCTTTGTTATATTTATTGCAGTGTGTGTAGTAGGGCTTATATATTTCCAGGTTTGAAGGAATACATTGGATAATTCACTTTATTAAGGAATACTTGGTAAAAATACAGAATTGTAGGTCATTTAATACGATATTATAAATAGGAAATCAGCAAAATACATCTATTCAAATCAAAAGCAGCCATCTTTTTGTATCAATTTATGATTAATTACATATAGTTTATAATGTGGACGTTCATGTTAATTAATGAATAGGGGCCTACCACTACATTGTGATTTATAAACTCATCATATTTTTCATTTAAAATGTTCATCAGCAGAGTAAATATAGCCTAATACTTGTCAGATATTTCTATTAAGGGAATAATATGTTATTTTGTAATAAAAACGAACTCGAAAGTAGAACAATGTGTATACACTCAAAAGTTTGTTATTAAGATTTGCTGTTTCTCCTACAGTGTTTCCACCGGGTGTCTGCAGCGGGACTCACTGACCTGCTCCCGGCCGGTCTGGGACCAGCTCCACCGCGCCTATCTGTCGCATCATGTAGGCTGTCTTCACCTCATGACAGCTGTCCGCATCGGCTGATCCACAGCCAGGGTCCGGGAGGAAAACACAATACAACAAAATTACCCACAGCAAGTCCGCGTTTTGTAAGGCTGCACGGAACATCGCAACATGTCAGTGAGGAGATAGAAAGTCTGGCTGGTTAATATGAATTCCTAAAAGTCCCACGGTGCAGTGTGACTGAAAAACTTCATCTGCAGCCACTATGTCTGTCTGGAGCCCACCGTCAGGCTCAGTCCCCTCCCCTCTCTGACTCTCACTCACTTTAGCCCAATTAGCCATCTTAATTGAAATGTGAACTCAATATACTTACAAATACCCTGTAGTTTGAAAACGCGTTTCCTGTACCGCAGCTGCCAACATAACAATAACTTATTACAGATAAGAAAACGAGCAATAAGATAATGCCAATAACAATGATATGGAATTAAAGTAATTCCAATGTATACTTAGTTATGGACTTAAAGAAACATGTCGTCATGGTTTTCATAGATAACCTTTGCAGATATTGTACATTAAACATGACTGATAGTTGTGAGTGAAGTGGGATTTAAGGAAACACTGTTTAATAGTGAAACGTGGGCGCCACCTGCTGGTCTTTTTGGATCATAGCAGAGGCATTTTAACAGCTCCTGGAAAAAAGAACCACAATATAATCTAATAAAATGAGATTTTGTCAACACAAACTCATACTACATGGCTAAAGTAACTTGTTAACAGTAAGCTACGGCAGGAACACATGTGCCAGTGCCTTCAGTTTCAGGAACGTTAGTTTACCTTTGCTTACGGTACAATTTGGACAAAAACCTAATACGACATTACTTCTACCAAGAAGCCATTAAACTGGCGTTAGGTAGGTCCCAGACAAAGTAGCTAGCGCTCAAGTTGCACCTTATTGACGTTTCGCTGAATAGATACATCCCATTAAGGGGTGCAGTCAGTGCTTACTTTGTTATTTACTTTGTTAGCCAGGCACACCTATGAAGCTCTGACGTGAGAGGCTCTGTGCAATGTCAACCCGCAATCTGATAAAGACAGCGCGGCTCCCTTTAAGCGTGCCGAGCCCGTTTTTGGTTGCGTTTCCACTTGGCCTAGTTTTGGCCCAGGGCTACTTTTTCACCTTTTTTCTGGCCCGACTAAATCGTGGTTCGAGGGCCAGGAACAACCAGGCTGAGTCGGGCTGAGTATGCTAAACGAGAGAGAGAATCGCTGGCAAGGGGGCTACAACTACATTACATTACAACAAGATTAACATATTTGACCGTGATTTAATTGTAATACACGTTTCAAAATGATGCCGAAGTAACAACATACTGATACCGGGTAGTAAAAACCATAAATTAATGCTTTGACAAGTCTGCAGACAGACGGCAGGCGAAAAACCCTTTTAAAATGCGTGTTTTCTAAATGGAGCTTGGCTAAGCTAACGTTATATATGCTCCGACCGTCCACACTCACAACAACGGCCTATACAGACATAAATAAACCAGCGACTGTATTCGCCATGACACAGGCAGTCTGTGGTTTGTACTTGTACTTTTGTCTAGTTTCTGAACAAATATGAAGAGCTGTGAGCTCTGAGTGCTAAGAGCTAACGGATGATGTTGTTTTTCTGGGGCTCTCATTGAAGATGACGTCACGGCTCCGCCTACACTGCGTTACTATAGTTACTGCCCCAGTTCCTAAACTGTAATGGAAGCGCAGCATTTTGTGAGCCGGGCCTAATAAGGCCAAACCAAATCAGGCGAGGCCTGCAGTGGAAACGCGCCATTTGATAACCGTGAAGTAGCCGAAATACACCCTGCGAGCTTGTTTCGAATCCCGCTCAACTCCTTGTATGTCAGAACATGCATAAATGTAAAGGTGGAGCTGTCATGTCCCCCCCACTTTTTAAATGTGTTTATTATAATTTGTTTACGCAAGCGGTCATCGGCACGGAGGAGCGTCTGTGTGTGTGTGTGTGTGTGTGTGTGTGTGTGTGTGTGTGTGTGTGTGTGTGTGTGTGTGTGTGTGTGTGTGTGTGTGTGTGTGTGTGTGTGTGTGTGTGTGTGTGTGTGTGTGTGTGTGTGTGTGTGTGTGTGTGTGTGTGTATGTGGGTGGTGTGTATGTGTGTGTGCGTGTAAGACATTTAGTAATTAAGACAAACTCTAAATTCCTCTTTAAAGACTCAATGCCACGGTAACAACCCTAAGCCTCTTTAAATAGTGTCAGCATACTGGTTTCATAATGACCTCTTTAAAACACCTGGATTCATTCAAATGTCCCACTGGATGTGAACGCATCACGACAACGTTGTAATTTACCTTCAACCAATACAGATTTTTACAAAAAAAGAACCTGAACGTATCATAATGTGTACTTTAAAGAGTCCTCTCCTGCTGATGTTCAGGTGTATATCAGTGTGTAGTGTCTCACTTTAAAGAGTCCTCTCCTGCTGATGTTCAGGTGTATATCAGTATGTAGTGTCTCTACTTTAAAGAGTCCTCTCCTGTTGATGTTCAGGTGTATATCAGTATGTAGTGTCTCTACTTTAAAGAGTCCTCTCCTGCTGATGTTCAGGTGTATATCAGTATGTAGTGTCTCACTTTAAAGAGTCCTCTCCTGCTGATGTTCAGGTGTATATCAGTATGTAGTGTCTCTACTTTAAAGAGTCCTCTCCTGCTGATGTTCAGGTGTATATCAGTACGTAGTGTCTCTACTTTAAAGAGTCCTCTCCTGCTGATGTTCATGTGTATATCAGTATGTAGTGTCTCTACTTTAAAGAGTCCTCTCCTGCTGATGTTCAGGTGTATATCAGTATGTAGTGTCTCTACTTTAAAGAGTCCTCTCCCGCTGATGTTCAGGTGTATATCAGTATGTAGTGTCTCTACTTTAAAGAGTCCTCTCCTGCTGATGTTCAGGTGTATATCAGTATGTAGTGTCTCTACTTTAAAGAGTCCTCTCCTGCTGATGTTCAGGTGTATATCAGTATGTAGTTGTCTCTACTTTAAAGAGTCCTCTCCTGCTGATGTTCAGGTGTATATCAGTATGTAGTGTCTCTACTTTAAAGAGTCCTCTCCTGCTGATTTTCAGGTGTATATCAGTATGTAGTGTCTCTACTTTAAAGAGTCCTCTCCCGCTGATGTTCAGGTGTATATCAGTATGTAGTGTCTCTACTTTAAAGAGTCCTCTCCTGCTGATGTTTAGGTGTATATCAGTATGTAGTGTCTCTGCTTTAAAGAGTCCTCTCCTGCTGATGTTCATGTGTATATCAGTATCTAGTGTCTCTACTTTAAAGAGTCCTCTCCTGTTGATGTTCAGGTGTATATCAGTATGTAGTGTCTCTACTTTAAAGAGTCCTCTCCCGCTGATGTTCAGGTGTGGTTTTCAGAGAGGAAACAAAGAGAAAACCAGTAAGGCAAGGCAAGGCAAAGCAAGTTTATTTATATAGCGCTTTTCAACACAAGGCAATTAAAAGTGCTTTACAAAAAATGAAAGACATTAAGAAAATGGCATTTAAAATCAGTCATTAAAAAGAAAAGCTAATAAAATAAACATTAAAAGAAAAAATACATGGATAAAAGTTACAGTGCAGTCTAAGATATGAATAGTTCAATTAAAAGCAGCGACAAAAAGAAAAGTCTTCAGCCTGGATTTAAAAGTAGTCAGAGTTGCAGCGGACCTGCAGCTTTCTGGGAGTTTGTTCAAGATATTTGGAGCATGATAACTGAACGTTGCTTTACCATGTTTAGTTCTGACTCTGGGGACAGAAAGCTGACCAGTCCCTGAAGACCTGAGAGATCTGGATGGTTCATAATTTAGCAGGAGGTCAGAAATGTATTTTGGGCCTAAACCATTCAGTGCTTTATAAACCAGCAGCAGTATTTTGAAATCTATTCTTTGACACACAGGAAGCCAGTGTAAAGACTTCAGAACAGGAGTGATGTGATCCACTTTCTTAGTGTCAGTGAGGACTCGAGCAGCGGCGTTCTGAATCAGCTGCAGCTTTCTAATAGATTTTTTAGTGAGACCTGTGAAGACACCATTACAGTAGTCCAGTCTACTGAAGATAAAAGCATGGACAAGTTTTTCCAAATCCTGCTGTGACATTAGTCTTTTAATCCTAGATATATTCTTTAGGTGATAGTAGGCTGATTTAGTAACTGTTTTAATGTGACTGTTGAAACTCAGGTCAGAGTCCATGACTACACCTAGATTTCTGGCTCTATCTGTTATTTTGAACATTGCAGACTGAAGCTCAGCGCTAACTTTTATACGTTCTGCCTTGGCTCCAAAAACCATTACCTCAGTTTTATCTTTGTTTAATTGGAGAAAGTTCTGACACATCCAGTCATTGATTTGTTCAATGCACTTACTCAGTGTTTGAATTGGAGCATAGTCTCCTGGTGAAATTGTTACGTAAATCTGTGTGTCATCTGCATAGCTATGGTAACTTATTTTGTTGTTCTTCATTATCTGAGCCAGTGGTAGCATGTATCAAATCAAATCAAGTTTTATTTATATAGCACATTTATAAACGATTTTTGGTCGAGCCAAAGTGCTGTACATATAATAAAAATAGCCTACAGTAGAGACACTTTACAGCAAATACAACAGCACAGATTGTTCAGAATATCAGTATGAGAAAAACGACACCCTCTATCCTTAGACCCTCACATCGTACAAGGAGAAACTTCCAGAGAAAATACATAGTTTAAGGGGAAAAAATGGGAGAAACCTCAGGGAGAGCAACAGAGGAGGGATCCCTCTCCCAGGACGGACAGACGTGCAATAGATGCCGTGTGTAAATCGAAGAGCTAATACATTTTACAGCATATAGACCGAATGTTAGGAAATGCATGTGTCTGTAATAAGAAGATGAATCCACGAGGATGTCAGCTACAATCCTGTGGAAGCCATCAGGGAAGCAGCATGACGAGACCCAAGGCAGGACCGCAGAGACAGGTTCAGCCACGACCCGAAGTCCACGACTTAATCCAGAACTCAGGATAGAGGATCGAAGACACAGGACTACAGCAAGAGGATCAGCCTCGACTCCGGATCCCGGCGTAGATATAGATACAAAACAACAAAAAAGATTTGGCTGGGTTAATCGAAACAAGAGAATACACAGACGCAGACAGAGAGGGAAAAGGTCATTGGATAAAAGTTATTCTTGATAACCCTCTAAAAAGATCTCATGAACTTCCCCACTCAATCT